GTGTTACTAGCGTCACGTGACTTCCGCTGTCGTAACACTATCAATAGTAAGCCATAAAAAGGCTATACATTTCTTGGTAATTTCCAGACATCTTTTTGTCCCCCCTCCCCCAGTGGCACAGCGGCATGTCTGCGGACTTACAACGATAGAAGTTCGGGTTTCGATACCTGTGATGAGTAGAGCACAGATACGCCCTATTGTGTTAACTTTGTGCTTAATTACAAACTATTTTTTTCTCTCCTCCAAGAAAAAAAACTAAGTTCATAATAATATAACACAAAAGTCTAATTAATTTTTAAAACAAAAATAATTATAATAATTAACCCATTACTATCTATATACATGAATATAATCTACCAATAACTAAACTTTCTAAAGATTACTTCTCCACTCATAAAAAATAAAATAAAATACTCGGTAATTATTGATAGGTAAATGTATGTGTTTTTATTTAGCGTTAGTGTTAGTAGCGACCCCTAGTAATACAGCCTTGAAGCTACAACTAGATTACGTCAGTTCCTTAAAATAGTACTTGATTTAGATAATCTTGTTGATGGCCATGACTTACATTTTCTATTGTATAAAATAAAAAACAGTAATGTGTCAAGAAATGCGCTTGGTACTAGTCGCAAGAAGAAGTCGTGAAACTAATTCATTATTTTCAAAACGAATAAAACTGTATGGTTTCTTTACAATATACAAAATGTTGGCAAAATAATTAACGTCATTTTGCTAGACATATTGTAACAGTTTAGGTTTTTAACTTAAGTGATCTTAAGTTTAGTGAAACTTTATGGAACATTAAATTTATGAGACTAATTATAAATAAAAAACAGACTTAAAATTGTGAAGCCAAATTTGATTTAAAAAATATAAATATTTATGTGGCACTGTATTTATAGCCTGAAGGTTATTAACTTTCTAATAGCCTTTTATACTTGAAATTAAAATTATAAATATTTTAATACAAGTAAAAATAGAGATTGTTAAATTTATAATAAAATTTCACACCAGTAGGAATGAAGGTTATTAATTGTTTAATAAAATTAATACAGACAGAAATGGAGATTGTTAATTTTATAATAAAATTTCACACCAGTAGGAATAAAGGTTATTAATAGTTTAATAAAATCAATACAGACAGAAATGTAGATTGTTAAATTTGTAATAAAATTTCACACCAGTAGGAATGAAGGTTATTAATAGCCTAATATAATTTCACACCAATGAGAAAGAAGGTTATTAACATTCTGAAAAAGGTGATACAGGTAGAAAAGGAGATTGTATGTTTAGAATTAATCACAAAGCTACACAATGGGCTATTTGTGCTCTGCCCACCACGGGTATCGAAACCATGTTCCTAGCGTTATAAGTCCGAAGACATACCGCTGTGCCACGTGGGGAGCATGTAGATTGTTAATTTTATAATAAAATTTAATATGGAGATTATTAATATTATAATAAAATTTAATATGGAGAATATTAATATTATAATAAAATTTAATATGGAGATTATTAATATTATAATAAAATTTAATATGGAGATTATTAATATAATAAAATTTAATATGGAGATTATTAATATTATACTAAAATTTAATACTAGTAGGAATGGAGGTTATTAATTTTCTAATAAAACTTGATACGGGAAGAGATGAATATTATAAATGTTCTGATAAAACTTGCCTCATACCTGCCTTTGCGGGCGTGAAGTGTGGCAGGACACCCCACAGGAATGAATCACCTGTTAAAAGGCGTAAGAGCCCTAATTGAGCCACTTGCCCTGCATTAAGTGAATGTTGGCCATCATGCGGAAAGATGACAAACTCAGAGGTACTACAACTAGCCGGCATTCACAATATGTACCAGCGATGGTTAGGTCACGTTGTGATGATGCCTGATACTATACGGTGAGCTAGCAACATGTAAAAGACCACCAAAGATGTCCCTATCTTCGATTTAAAGATGTGTGCAAAAGAGACTTAACATCAACTAGCATCAGTCTAAACGAGTGGGAGACACTTCCTGAGGATAGGGGCGTTTGGTGCTCTTTTATCAGCAGTGGGCTAAGAAATCGCGAAGAGAGGATGGCAAATGAGGAGGTACAGAAAAGACCTCGCAGGAAGCAGAGAAATACACTACACACTCCATCTCAACACACCATCTTCGAATGTGATATCTCCGTCATTGTACATCCTGGATAGGACTTTTCAACCACCGTAACAAGTGCCTGATTTAATAAAACCCTTACATGTGCACACAAAAAATATACTGTCTCTCGAGACAGACAGATGACTACTAATAATAAATAATAATGAAGATTACTAAAATTCTGGTAAAATTGTATAACGATGGAGTTAAAAACTACTAATAAACTGAAAAAGGCTTGACACCAATATAGCTGAAGTCACCGAAAATACGGGCAGGTGGTTAGGGCGCTCGACTAGCAATTTGCGGGTAGTGGGTTCGAACCCCCGTCCTACCAAACATGCTCGCCCTTTCAGCCGTGGGGACGTTATAATGTGACGGTCAATCCCACTATTCGTTGGTAAAATAGCCCAAGAGTTGGCGGTGGGTGCTGATGACTAGCTGCCTTCCCTCTAGTTTTAAACTGCTAAATTAGGGACGGCTAGCGCAGACAGCCCTCGTGTAGCTTTTGGCGAAATTCAAAACAAAACAAATACCGGAAATGACAACGGCTACTATTATTATGTTAAAAGTTTGATACCGATAGGGCTGAAAGATTACTCATATTTTGATATATTTTGGCATCAATAGATAGATGATTATGCAGAGAATAATTTAAAATACTTGTAATGATGTCACTATTTTAAAACAACTTATTTACACTTGAACTGAATTTAATATCAATCTCTCGATAACATTTATTTTCTTATCGTGTCGAAAGATGGCAGCACTATACAGACAACTTATCAGAGGACTGTTTTTGTTTCCAGAACAAAGCCACATTGGGCTTTCTGCTTTGGCCACCGCGAGGAATCGGGCCTCGGATTTTAGCGTTTTAAATCCGTAAACTTACAGCTGTCCCACCGGAGGACCCTTATCAGAAGAGCTTTTCTAACCTAGATATACCTTTTATAATTCACAATTGCACTTTTAATTAAACAATACGGTTGTATTGACAAGTCTAAAACTTCATAATTAAGTCAATAGATGGCAGGCGTGATTGATTTACTCGTTCCGTACAATTTAAAAATGTATACTTTAAAGTTTATGCTGACTCTACACAGTCCATATTTTTGCAAACCTTCAAAACACTAACTTTTAAAATTTAAAGTAAAAAATTCTGAAGACTTTCCTAATATTCCCTATCAGCTATGCAAAACAATACATGATTTGTGAAAAATATATAGAGAGAGAGAGCATATATTCAGCACAAACCTACACACACAATAGATTATCTGCGATCTGTCTACCGCGGAAAATTGAGCCTCGAAAACTTACCGTTGACCCATGGGGATATTTTAAATATACTTTAGAAACGTATATATATGTGTGTATGTATACAGTAGTAATAATACATACGCAGTTACAAAATAAGAATTTAACATCATAATATGCATACATATATATACAGATTCTAGTATTTTTAACCATCAAAAGTTACCTTACACTTCTAAAATTTTCTTTTCTGACAATATTAATAATACAAGTGTACGTGCATAACCTACTGGTCAGCGTGCCCAGACCGTGAATCCATGGCTTCGTTTTTTTTTTGTAGCCCATCGCTACGAGAATGCGCTTCACATTTTGCGGCCAATTGGGGAGCTATAATGGTGACTGTCCGATACCACTATTCGGTCAGACAAGAGTACTCCAAGAGTTCTCCCCCACCAGTGGCTTAGCGGTATGTTTACAGGCTTACGACACTAAAATTCGGGTTTCGATACCCGTAGGGGCAGAGTACATATAAGCCCATTGTGTGCTTTGCGCTTAACAATAAACAAATAATATTGATATAATCAGAGAA